AAATACAGCAAGTAGAACGTTGCATTGGAATCCAATTGCAACTTGTAGAAGTTGAAAAGGACAGGCTAGTTTCACTTGCATCTAACCCTACGCGCTTGATGAGACGAACGGTGACGATGCTTTCACGACCACCCATACTGTTGAGGAGAACACTCACCTCATCCCCATCACTCCTCCACTCGTATCAAACACAATCGCGCCTATACTCTACATCGATACCGCGACATACTAGCAAAGAAAATGTACATAGACGAAAGTGCATCGCAGGTCCTACTAGACAGTGGCTAGGGAAGAGGACTTTCTGTTCGACCCCGGCGTTATCAGCTATAGCAAACGTTTCGCAGGCCAAGGCTATTATTTGTCTGGCTGACATGCAGATTATCGATCATAGATATGAGTATGTCCTATGCGCTGACAGTTTGGAAGCTTGCTCCAGGCATCATATCAGCTAATGCATTTACTAGTGCGCTTGTCGTTGGCGCAGGGGGAGCAGGTCTTATGGCTGCCGTTGGCCTTGCGGAAAGTGGGTTGGAGACAGCGTGTATATCGAAATTGGTGCGTCATTTTACTCTTCCTTAGCTACTCGTCGAAGCTTTCTATTCCCCCCATCCCCCGGCTTTGACATGAAGCATGGTCTGTTTGGTATGAGATGGGAGAAAACGCTAACAAAACTTTGTCCGTACGCTGGTCTTGAATGAAGTAGTTTCCAACAAGGTCTCACACAGTAGCTGCTCAGGGGGGTATCAATGCTGCTCTTGGAAATATGACAGAGGACGACTGGAGATGGCATATGTATGACACAGTTAAGGGTTCGGATTGGCTAGGGGACCAGGACGCAATTGTACGTTCGTCTGCTATATCCTCAAAACTGTACTATGATTTTGCTTACATGTCTCGTTAGCATTACATGTGTAAGGAAGCACCTAAAACCATTGTTGAATTGGAAGGATACGGAATGCCATTTTCCCGCACTGCAGAGGGCAAGATTTATCAGGTGGGATTATTTTTAAAAATTGAAAGGTTCAGTCCATGAGGTTCAACGAAACTAAACGAGAGGGTGGGTTTGCAGCGACCGGTTGGAGGACAATCCTTGAATTACGGCACAGGCGGCCAGGCCTATCGGACAGCATGCGCAGCGGATCGCACAGGCCATGCAATGCTCCATACTTTATACGGACAGGGCTTGAAGGTTAGATTGGGTTCAAATGCATATGTGTGGTACAATCCGCGGCTAATGGGTTGGTAGCATAATTGCAACTTTCTAATCGAGTTTTTCGCCTTGGACCTTATGATGGTGGACGGTCGGTGTGTTGGTGTAACCGCACTTGACATGGAAACTGGAACGCTGCACCGTCTATTCAGCAGGAACACGATTCTTGGTACGTTTCGTAACTACTTAATCACTCTTGTCATGCATCAGCTAATCAGTCGATAGCCACTGGCGGGTACGGACGCGCCTATTTCTCCTGTACTTCTGCACATACCAGCACGGGCGACGGATGTGCGATGGCATCCAGAGCAGGTCTTCCCCTCCAGGACATGGAATTTGTTCAGTTCCATCCAAGCGGAATATATGGTGCAGGTGTCCTGATTACAGAGGGTGCACGCGGAGAAGGAGGCTATTTACTCAACTCCGAAGGCGAGAGATTTATGGAACGATATGCCCCAACCGCCAAGGACCTTGCAAGCAGAGACGTTGTGGCACGATCCATGAATATAGAGATTAGAGATGGGAGAGGTGTTGGTCCAAATAAGGATCATATTTACCTGCAGCTCTCACATCTGCCTAAGGACCTGATTCTGGAGCGCCTCCCTGGAATTGCAGAGACGGCCTCGATATTTGCGGGTATTGATATAACTCGACAACCTATTCCAGTACTCCCTACAGTCCATTATTGCATGGGTGGTATTCCTACCAACTACAAGGGCCAAGTTATAGATATGGACCTTGCAACCGGAAGGGAAACCCCCGTCTCCGGGCTTTACTCGGCCGGAGAAGCCGCATGCGTAAGTGTTCACGGCGCGAATAGACTGGGAGCCAACTCCCTTCTCGACATTGCCGTATTTGGCCATGCGTGTGCCTCTCACATTGCTGGAAATAACGAGAAAGGAATGTCGCACGGTTCAATTCCGGCAGATATCGGCATGTCATCTTTCGAGGATATGGAGCGAATCCGTACTTCGGATGGAAGCAAACTTACCGCCGAACTACGCATGGATATGCAAAGAGCTATGCAATCTGATGTCGCTGTGTTCCGAACAGAAGAATCCCTCGCCTCCGGCGTCTCTAGAGTCCAGCAGGTTGAACAGTCATTCAAAAACGATGTTTGTGTTAAAGATAAATCGTTGATTTGGAACTCTGACTTGATCGAGACATTGGAAATGAGGAATTTGCTCACGTGTGCTGCGCAGACGGCGAAAAGCGCCTTGGATAGGAAGGAGAGCCGAGGTAGCCATGCCCGAGAGGACTTCTCTGATCGAGATGATGCCCAATTCATGAAACATAGCCTGTCGTGGCAGATCGAAGAGACAGAACCAGTGAAGGTGGGCTATCGGGATGTTATTTTCGCAACGTTGGATGAGAACGAGTGTCCTAGCGTAGCACCGAAGAAAAGAGTATATTAATTGGGAATTTAGAGCACTATGATATATAAATATATAGATAGATAAATATGGCATAGTTATTATTGTTGTATCGAAGTTTATTTTATTTGAGCCCAACCTAAAAACGGGGAAATTTTCGATCACGTGATTTATAGCCCCAAGCTTCCTTTTTCAAACAAGCCGAACAGAATACAGCGATAAAATGCGAGCTTTGAAAGGCATATATTCGGAGACCCCCGACATCTTGACATTGTATTCCTCCAATGCAATGTCGCCGTGATACACAACCTCCTGAGCTTGATGAACCATTTCCTTTGTTCATTTTTGGATAGGGCGTTGCTAACACACAATGGCTTCAAACGCCGCTTCCGTCGCTGTTGGTGACAGAGAGCTACTTGCTCGCGTGGAAGACGTACCACAACCGGAAATAGCCTCTCCAAAGACTCCTAGGGATTGGTCGAGGAAGGATGCAGAGCAGAAAGACGTTTTAGGGGACGAGGATAACAAGGACGATAAGGAACCAGGCGAGGAGCTGGAAGAGGGGCAGGAGGAGGAGGCAAAAGAAGCAGACGGGGAAGAGCCACACAACTCCGCTCCACCCTTACCGCAGGAAGATCTCCCACCTCCCCTCCCCAACGAAGTGCCTCCTGGTCAAACAGAAGATGATGGGTGGGACCCAGTTTGGGATGATAGTGCACAAGCTTATTACTTTTATAACCGGTTCACGGGTCTGTCGCAGTGGGAGAACCCCCGGGTACCTGACACACACCAACAAACACAACAAGCAGACGCATCACAATCCTCACAACAGCAACAGTCCATCAAACCACGGGTGGCTGGCGGTTATGATCCCGCAATCCACGGTGACTATGACCCCACTGCGCCTTACGCACAGGTGACCCAACAACAACAACAAGAAGGGCTAGATGCCGCAGGCGCTGCTTACTCCTCCGATCCGAACTACATCTACACAGCAACAGGCACGTTCAACCGGTTCACGGGCAAATGGCAGCCGGGTGCACTAGCTAAAGAGTATTTCGACGACGAGAATAAAAGTAAAAGACAACTGAATGCATATTTCGATGTGGATGCGGCGGCCAACAGCCATGATGGCAAGAGCCTCAAAGCCGAGCGGAGCGGGAAGAAACTAACTAAGAAGGAACTGAAAGCTTTCAAGGAAAAGAGGAGGGAGAGGAAGGAGGAGAAACGAAGAGCGTGGTTAAGGGATTGATTCCTGGTTTACCTTGTGGCATTTTTGTTTGTCTTCTTTTCTCGGTTTGCGAGGTTGGACTTCTGTTCCTCGCCAGCTCTATCCTCGCGCCTTATTGACCTAGCTTTTTTATCGGAAACGGAAGACAGGATGCAATTGCACATACGGTGCAAGCGGTGCAAGCGGAGGTTTTTTGGGCATCTTCTATGGAGTTATGTGGTGCTTTTTTCTTTCCTTGGCTTCGTTTATGAGAGGTTGGGTTGGATATTTCGTGGATATACATGATGTTCATGTCAGACGGATGCTATGGTCTCCGGTTCTAGCTCCATTGCACTTCTTTCCTCAAACTTTCTTACTTTTTTTTTTCCATTACTTATTTATTTCTAATGTTGTAGCGATAGCTCTTATATACCATTACCGAATCTCTGTAGTTTCATAACCTAACGAACTGGGCTAATTTTCTAATCTTAATACCGAAAACCATCATGCTCTAGACTAAACTCTTAATTCTCTATATGCCTTTAGCACAACTCTATCATTCTTTGAATTAAAGTTTGTTGTTGGTCCAGTTCTGGTAGCTGTTTTCATCACGTGATTTGGCCAGCTAATTTCGTTCTCTGTGATTTTGTTAACTTTCAGAAATTGGGGGTAACTGTACATGTACAATAGCACCTTAAATTAGAAAGGAGACCTCTTTTGTGTGAACAAGTTCGGAGTATATCATCAGTAAGTTAATTTTCTTTCCCTTTGATCTGGAATTGTCTCCCTTCTCTGCTACTGTGGTTTTCGCTTTCGCTATAGCGAGATGTCCACTAGTCATAATATATATACATATTTCCCTAGCGATGCAGAGCTCCGTGTAGCAAGCAACCTTTTTATTTTATTTTTTGATCGTCATACAATATGTTCTTTTTTCATACCTCGGATTTAGCATGAGCTTTGTTTATGAAGTAATTATTTCTACACGTGTTCCAAAATTGCAGTGCTGGGAATCGCTTCCGGTTTGCTCTCAACTGTCCGCGTCTTCAGGGTCGCTGCTGTGGTCAAGCAAAATTTACGTTTAAGAAGCTTGCTTTCCTGATTCTCCGTTATGTGAAGATATGGTGGATATCTTAAATGTCTTCCTGGTTCAGGAACAAGATCTGAACATGGATCAAGTTGTTATAGTCATTTACACAGTGTTTTCAGCAAACCTGGAAGATTTTTCAAGATACCCCTCATCGTCGCGTCCATTCTGATATCAACTGCGGGATATGGTGCAAACAATATTACATGTCTAACATTACCTAGGTTAAATACAGGAGGGAGCGAAAAGGCTTGCGCTACTTTTTTTGCTTTTCCTTTTTAAGGGGATTTCCTAGATATCCTACAAGGGAAACTGAAAAAGAATATCAGAAACCATCTAAACCATGGCAACTATAGCTGGCCAAACACTAGGCGGCGCAACCACGCCTAAGCCTCTTACATTAGAAGAGATCGACGACCTCATCTACTCCGCGCGTCTAGGAGATGTAGACGCATTGCGGACAGATATCACGAGCCTCAGCCAGAAGTACGGCTGTTCCTCCTTAGATATCATACAGTCTGCTATCGACATGGAAGACGAGAGCCAGGGGGGAACGGGGGCGTGTTTGTTGCATTGGCCGGCTGCGAATGGGAATATTGGTATGTAGTCGCCCCATATAATTCTATCTATAGCGTTCCCCAAGGGCGATTTACCCACTTACAAAAAATCTCCAAACTACCAGAAACACTCAATTACCTCCTCAGCCTCCTCGATACACCTACACAGACTCTAACACAAACAACAATATCCACCCACACATCGCAAGACCCCGCAGCAAGGGCAGCAACAACAGTGAACCCCATCATAAACCACCGGAACAACTCCGGCAACACCCCATTACACTGGGCGGCGCTAAACACGCACTTGGAATGCGTTAAAGCACTCGTCCATGCCGGCGCAGATATCACTACAAAAAACAATGCGGGCCATGATGCCGTCTTCCTCGCTGAGAGGTCGGAGTGGACTTCGTTACCTGCTGATGATGAAAAGGAGGGAGAAGGAGAGGTGGAAGTGACTATGAATGGGGTTGGGGAAGCCGAGAATAAGGAAGAGGGCGAGGCTAGGAGGCCGATTTCGAAGGGCATGCAGGTTGTCGAGTGGTTGTTGGGGTGTGAGGAGGGTGAGGGGTTGGAGAGAGGGGCGGGTGTTAGTGGGAGTGGGGATGGGGATGAGGGTGGTAATTGAGTGTTCGGGGATATGAGTTTTGTTTTTTTAATGACTGAGTGCATGAGGCAAATTATGTGAGGTGAAAGCTTATTTCTGCCTTGAATAGAGGGATCAAGAAGACTCTGGAAGAAACAACCCAATCCTACAGGAGAAGTATACGCATCAACTTGGAAGCAAAATGAGATAGCTAGCCCCGTTAATCTCGTTAGATATGGCTATTATTCTAATCAACTCGCCGAACCATTCCCGGGGATAATCAATGGATAAACATACACCAATATGCAGTGGAAGGATGACCACAAACAAAACAGCCTTTAGAAGCAAGGCGAACACAAGGAACCGATGGTATCCGGTGCTGTATCTGGGTATTGTCTATCAAAATAAATAGAAAAAAAAAATCAAAAACAAAGAAGGCTATCTAGGATAATATCAGGAGGGAAGCGGGCTTGGGTGAGGTTGAGACATTTCTCCTAGTCAATTCCTATGTTCATAACCGCGCGTTTTAGGACTTCGCTGGCGTACATTCGTACTTCTCCCACCAGAATCGCTTAAAGCACCATAGCCACTCTTCTGTCCATCCTTCGTCCCCCGAAGCGCCCCGGTTTCGTTGTCATTCTGCGATATTTTCCCCGGGATCTTCGTCGCAACCAAATCCATCCCCACACGGAACGTGTGATCCCTCCAGACAACCGTTGAACCGCCATAGAACGCACATAGCCAGATCGGCAATGCCAAAGCCTCCCTGCCCAACCAGGCAAGGAACCACTCATGGAACGGGCGTCTAGTGCGACAAGTCTTGGCATGAGCGAATCTGGGGTGCGGGAGCGCGAAGGACGGGGTATGTTCGTCGACTTCCAGGGCAGTGGCGGAATGCAGTGTTACATAGAGCAACCAGTCAATGAGGACCCAGAAAGCGATGCTGATAGACCAGAATGCAAAAAACGCACGCCAGGTGCCTAGATAAGTGGCATATTGCGGGAAGAAACGAGGGAGGAGGTTGCTAAGTCCGAAGGCAAGATAAGTGGAGCAGAGGAACGATTCGGTCCCTGGCTCGGCGAGTGTGGCGAGCAGCACAGTGAACTTGCGCACACGGAGCCAGCGGATGCGCCGGTGGATGTAGTCTTTGACGCTCATGCGGGCTACTGGTTGGATGGCGACATCACCATAGACTAACTTGTGTCTACCCCATCGCTCTCCTTCTCTAGTGGGGGGTTTCCCTTGGAAGAGACAGTCCCCGATGAGATGGTCTTCGCAGATGTTGTCCGAGAAGTAATCAATTCCGGGACGTCGGGGTTGCGCGCGGGGTTTTGCAACGGCAGGTGAAGTGAGGTAGTCTAGATGTGAGCGGCGGAACATGGTTGATTTACCAACGGCGCAAGGGGCGATGACGATAGTGTTGATTGCGGAGTAGAATTTAGAATGGGAGGATGAGAGGAAAAGTTCCTCTAGACGACCTCCTGCTGTGGCTAGGAAAGATGGCTTTCCCTTACTTTTCATCTCTGCAGTCGGGAGGCTGACAGAGTCGTAGTCCTGATGTAACAAGTCCTGGCTCTCATCCGCGCTTCTCATTGACGGTTCTCCATTTCCTAAATCGACCGCGATGGGCATTTGATGCGCGAATCTGTACTGCTTGCCGACAGAGCCATCCTCCGCAACTATTCCGCACAGGCTATCCACCATTCTGCCACAAACACCTTTTCCCATCCAAACATTGCAATCCACAATCCACACAATATCACCCTTTGCTTCGTTATATGCACGGCTCATATTCCTGATTTTCGGGTTGGGTCCCAGCCGGTCACCATCATCACTTTCCTCCTCAACTAAAATCCGAGCATCTGCGTCTGGGAAGTCCTCCAATAATTGTTTCAACGTAGCATATGCCGGATCAGTTTTGGTCGCAATGCAGAGGTATATCGTAAGCTTATCCTTCGGATACTCCTGACGGAAACTAGCAGCCAGACACTCGTAGAGGCAGGGCTCGAGATCCTTGACGGGCCGGATGATGGTGACATGACTGACTTGAAAAGGGCGAAGTGAGGCGGAGAAGGATTTTTTTGGGCGGGAGGAGAAATTCTTTTGTCTAGATATCAGGTTGGGAAATCCTGCTCGTCAGCGCGTACATTTCAAAGGCTATCTAGCGCCAGTCAAATTTAAATCTCTATTCAAAACAGTATACGAAAAAATCTAAGCTCACAGTCGAGTCCATCCCACGAGAATCACAAAGGTCACAATCAGGTACCAGATGACAGCCGCCCAACTGGCCGCAATTAACCAGGGCTGAGATGGCCCCTGCTGCAGCTGCAATCCATTGCTGATAGCAATAGCAACAGGAGAATCGGAATTGGAGAAGCCCGCCGCCGTTCGATCTGCCTGCATGAGGCTGCTGACTACAAGGACGCTTGACACAAAACAGAGTATTTGTATTAAGGAGGGGACGGCGGAGGGGTATTGGATGCGCAGCTGGGAGAGGAATGCCAGGACACAGGCAACGACGGGTGCATACTTGAAGGGAATAGAAGAGAGCGAGAAAGGGAGAAGGCCAAAGCAGGACAGATTTGCGCCCCAGCAAAGGGGGAGTAAAAAGAAAGAATGAAAAAAGAGGGAAAAAGAGAGCTGGTGTTGTAGGGGGGGTTGGGCGTGGAGTTAAATATTTAAATATTTAATCCGACCAACACACACCTCACTTGGGGCCGGATGCTGATTAATGCGTTCCATTCTCTTTTTTTTTTTTTTATTCATTCGACAACCATGAGCCTTGTGATGACTCTCTCTCGATCTGCGGATGTGCCGGAATACAAACAACTCCACTACCAGTGGAGAACGACTTTTGTGTGTTTCTACATTTGTGCTAGGCCTGTCGAAAAACTACCTGACCAAGCTAAATCGTTCTATCCTGAGAGGGGTGGTGATGTTTGGAGCGGTGAAGGCGATCTATTTTGCTCTGGGAGGGAATAAACTGATCATCAACAAATAATACAGTGTATGCACTCCCAGGTCCGTGTATTTACTTACTTCACTTTGACCTATGAAGATTATCAAAGTTGTACATAGATGTTATGTTACAAGACCTCAAAACGCACTCGGAACCCATGAAGCCCTTGAATCAACGGCAAGGGTTGTGAAGAAATAGGACAAAGAAATATGTCCTACAGAGTCGCGAAACAACTTTCTCAAGTTTAGGTTGAAATATTGACCTTCAATGCAGGTCCCAACATCCCAACAATGGCCTTGTTATTGCGCTACCGCTCGCAAACCATACAGCCTAACAATGGGATTGTGAAGCGCAATGCACCCAAAGACCGATGCGGTGTCACACCGGGGTACTGCGGGCAAAATGAATACACTATCATTTCAAGTGGGCACTCGCACGTTTGGCCGAATCACAGCCTACGACATTGTCGACTTGGCGGTTGTGGCGCAATGGAAAACCCATAAATTATGGAGTACCAAAACCTATGTAATCTGTAACATTTCCTCTAGTTATTGATTCAGTCTTGGACTGAAGCCCCGAGTCCATGGAGTGTGCAGAGGAGTAAGGGCACCCATCGCACGTTGAATATCATAACGAGCCGATGCACCTGAATATCGAGAGGAATTGCGGCACAGAAGTCCTCGCCCTGGAATATCTTCATATTGCATGGCGGTGAGGAGCAATTTTAGGGTATGTTATTGCCAGATCGGGTTGGCCTTAGAATGATTTTGTATCGAGACGAGCCGGGGAGCTGTATAGTGTTAAGTTCATAAGGTTGATTGCGTGATGATCCGGGAATTATACAAGTGGACCCTGGGACTTAAATCCGTGGATAATCGTTAGGTATCTTCGATTTTTCTTGAAACAGATCTGACGAAAAGTATACTAGGGAGATTGTGCACCCAGTTTCCAAACCTGGCTGTCTAGGTAGGATCGTTAAGATCCACTATGCCTATGTCGCACGGGGTCAACTGTTTAGAACTTCAAAGAGCCCGTCGTGATACCTATAGGCTTCCCTGTGAATCCTACCATCGATTGCAAGCGGATTAAGTCCATACCGTCCAGCTTGAAGTGGTCGACTTCACAAGCACTGAGGTCGACGAATTTTCAGTGGACCCGCATAGCACAGCCCAGCTCAACCAGGAGCTGACTGATCCTCTGCTTCACGGCTGTCAGTGAAGTCAGTGTTGATAAGGACAAGGTGAAGGATGGACGCACTGATTTTTGAAGAAATTTTTGGAAGAATCGATCGTCATGCAACAGATATCAAGCTCTCAATACTGTGGCTAAGCGTTGAACGGAGCTATGGAGAGCTACCTTTTTTTTTTTTTTTTTTTTTTTTCTTAGGCCAGCAGTTCTAAGCATTACCAAAGGAACTTGGACGCCAATGAATATCTGTCCTTCCCAGCAGGTATGAGCAGCACATTTGCTTTTGCATGAGGCTAGAGCTGGTGTTAAAGAGAGAAGTATATGACTCAAGAAACATCGTGAGAAACTGCCACTAAGGGCCGGGTAGCCTTGGTTGCATTTGTCTCAGTGTGGGGTATCTCAACACCATTATGGTTGGATGTACGGAGTACCTATGAATTGACGTCTCCACGTCGCTTCAGACATTGTGTTTTAAAGCTCTCGACTTTGGTGCTTCCTGTGTTGTTTGCTTTATCTTGGAGATTCCCCATCACCATGAACCAAGTGGTCCCTTTTTCCTGTTGCCAATTCCACAGCCCTCTTTAATTTTCGGATATAAAGATCGACAGAGGGAAGACAACTTGTCCCGATAGCATGTGCAAAGTCTGATGTCTATTGCTGAGTGGTTACGAAAAGCATAAGTCCCCGTCGTATCAAAGCGAAACGTCAAATGGGTTATCACAAGGAGCAGGAAAAAGGAGCGGCAAACATTTTCAAAATAATCATAAGCTACGTCAGCTCAGACTGCTGCGTTCAAGCAATCGGGCTGGCCTGGGGCTTCTCAGGATTATTCGAGGTTCACTATCAAATCGATGACGGATGCTTGGGTGTGCAGGAAAATCGCTCATAGTAATATAGTTTCGATCAGGCACGCTCGTGGTGGCTATGCATTTCGGCACGAGGCGACACACACCACAAGTCTAGCTCATACATGACGGTGTGTATGATCCAGTTCTGGTGGGACTGAGGTAGCTTGTTAGCATAGCTGTGTGTTCAGCACCGAACAAGATGGAGATGGAAAACTGGGGAGAGTGGAGCTCGAGCCTTAAGCGCACGCTCGGGGCACTATGGGGCTGAGGCGCGAAGCTAGTTTCAGCCACCATCTTGACCACTGACATCTAGCAAACCCCTCCCTCAGTGCTCACTCTCTTCCGCCAAATCATTAACTATATCATCAATACCATACCTTACGTCCCACCCAGTATGAACAGTGCGGTGGGGCATACTCATCACATATTCAGAGAGTTGCTTACATTCTGCAGGCTCTGGCATGATAGGTTAAATTGTGATTGCTGGATATCTCCTGCAGACAAAACACGCTGACCCGGTCTAGACAAGACTCAATAATTTATGTCAACTTTTGGCATCCAACTATATAGTGTGAGTAGGGCTACTCATGGGGGGATTAGATGCCAAGGAACTTTGGAAGATAAGCCTTTTCAGCTGTTCTTCCCTGCCATTTTGCGTGGACTTCTTCGACTTAGCACCTCTACTCGTGTTTTACTGTGCTGATTTCCTTGGTGTCTAATATTAGATAGGGCCGTTTACATTGATCCCAATGCATTGGTAGATACACTCACAAGCCAATGAGAAGCCCGGGTGATTGCATCAAGGCGAGAAACAAGGTTAAAATTGGATCGCATGCCTTAGGCACTCGTACGCATGTTCATCGAAGTTTGATTATGGAAAGATATATGAATTACGAAAAGTAACTCCGTTACTAGCTATCCTAGAAGGAGAATCGGATAAGCTCGAGCTGGCAAGGATCCAGAAGCTGTGGCAATTTTGATTTGTGGCAAACGTTATTCCATATTTAAATATCTCAATCTCACAGGACAACATCCCAAATTGGCGGGTTTCACCGGGAGCTGCCCTTGTTGTCCGGACCAATTTATCTCATCTTACTTTTGCGCTCAGGCAATGTCATGTCTCTCGAACTCGTTGCTCAAGCAGTCCAGTGAGGAAGGGATCTGGGAGTGACCGTCCTTATTATTTCTCTCATTCACGATTATGTTTTACCCTTACTTTCGTGAAAGATGCCTATATACCTCGCGAAGTGCAGGAGAAAAAGAAGGTCCAAAATATCGCAACCAATGGTACAAATGATTTAATCGCCGGCAGAAGCTTATGCGGCACGATATTTGACGACAGTTGATTTTATTTGAGATATTAATGGGTAAATTACTGCACCCAACTTCTGGCTATCCGCCCCCTGTTTTTGTTCTAATCTTCTGGCACGTGTATCAACTCTCTCTTTTTGGCTATGACGACTTATTCAGTGCTTGGTGCTATGTTTCTTTGGGCTGGGGGGCATTGAGGCTGAATACGGAAATTTGTTTTGATTTTTACGCTCTATTAGCACTTCGTCAGTGTCCAGTTGCTTCTCGCAACCAAGGAAAGTCTTGCATTCTATCTAACAACCACTACGATGGGCTATTACGTCCGAGAAATTCTTTGCTTTTGTTCCTATCCTTCGTCACATAGTATCAGCTTTCCACAGTGCTTCAGGTCCTTGTCGTATGTTTGTTTTCCCGCTTGGACTATGAGGCATTTATTTTTTGCTCTTCTCCCGCATAGGTGAAGCTCAGCCCCAATGGGTCTCTACAACCTATCCCTTGGTAGCCGGATGTTGCATGCTGTTTTCTCTTGGGGGCAATTTCTGCCTTTTGTTTGTATTTCTTATCTTTTGGATGGGAAAGACCATTCCTATTGCCGAGCTGCACACCTGAAGGATCGGCCGTGATTCAAGGTTCATTATTATCAAATGGGGTGGAAAAGGGGTCCCTTGAGGGCTCGAATATTTTCCGAAACCTGTATGCCATCTATTATAAAAGGACATGCATCGGCCCCTGCTCCTAACATTGTTTTCAATCTTCCTATCCTTGCTATTTGAAATTGTTTTGAACACTTGATACACTACGGAGAATGAGTGACAAGAACGAAGACCCTCGCGTCCGCATTGCGGACGAGACACAACCTTTTTCCAAACCTCCGAGACGTACTCTCCATCGCGCTGTGTCAAGTTCCTCTATGTCAATTCGCAGTACTCACAGTAGAGTGGCAGCTCCAGAGACAGTACTTCCAATTACTTACCGGTCCCTGTTCGTTATTATCCCTGTCTTGCCCGGAGCTCAATCAATCTCATAACAGCATGCACAATTCAGATCGTACAATATCAACGAAGACTCAAAGGCAGGTGAACTGAACAAGAGAGATGCGAAACATATTCGTGGTACGTCTTAATTTACATCTTAACTTATGATTTTTTCTCTGTTGCCCTATTTAACGAGCAATAGATCTGGAGCAGTTAGATTGGCATTTGCTCTCTGCCGACGAGCTATTCCGAAGATTCTCAACTTCATCCTCTCAGGGGCTCTCTGCTGAACAAGTCGCTCGACGCACATCGGAATATGGGAAAAACCAGCCCACCCCACCGCCTTCCGGCCTGTTTCGAAAGCTCATGGCCTATGTGTTTGGTGGTTTTGGCCTTTTATTGTTTATAGGTTGTATTCTTGTCTTCATCGCATGGAAACCACTCGGAGATCCTCCTGCCCTCGCGAATCTTGCACTTGCTATTGTCCTCGCCGCTGTCTTTGTTATCCAAGCGGCGTTCAATGCCTGGCAGGATTGGTCCTCTTCTAGAGTAATGGCTTCGATTACCACCATGCTTCCAGACGAGTGTATGGTCGTTCGGGAAAACGGGCAGGAGTGGACGACAGCGACCGAACTTGTTCCTGGTGATGTCGTCAAAATAAAACAAGGAAACAAACTCCCATCAGACTTGCGTTTTATTGAGGTGTCGTCCGATGCCAAGTTTGATCGTTCAATCCTTACTGGTAAAGTCATACCCAAAATTCCATGATTGCCTATTTGTAATTCTAATTAATGAAATTGTAGGGGAGTCTGAACCTGCTCAGAGGACTGTTGATTCTACGGACAAAAACTATCTCGAAACACGTAATATCGGACTTCAGGGCACCCACTGTGTTTCTGGTAGCGCAACAGGTGTTTGTGTCGCTACAGGAGACAATACAGTGTTTGGACGAATAGCTCAACTGGCCAATAAACCTCGACACGAATTCACCCCATTGCAGAAGAAAATACTGCGCTTTGTCTTGGTTATCGTTGGTATTATTATTACTGTAGTTGTACTAGTTGTAGTCTTGTGGCAAGTTCCCTTAGTTCTTCTTCGTACGATTTCTATACTAACGGCTATCTAGGGCTGCCTAGTTGCGGAGAGATCATACTGATTGGATCAATCTCCCCCTTCTTATTGTCAGCTGCGTCTCGGTGGGAATTGCCTTCGTACCGGAAGGGCTTCCTGTTGCTGTCGCCTTGAGCCTCACCATCGGAGCAAATATTATGAAGAAAAATAAAATCCTCTGCAAGACTCTCGCAACGGTCGAAACTCTTGGCTCTGTTTCCGTCATCTGCACAGATAAAACTGGAAATTTAACGAAGGTAGGCGGATCCTCGAACTTTAGTTGTTTTTTGATATCTTCTAATATATTGTGCTTCTAGAATGAGATGTTTGTGACTGATTGTTACACTGGTGCGGAGGAATACACCGAAGAAGCTGCGCGTATAGCTAACCACGGGAGGGAAGAGACCGACGTCTCATTTGGTAGCTCAATGAATCAGCTACGTAGAGTAGGAGGTTTGCGCAATGCAGCGGAGTTTGATACGTCAACACTCAGCTATCCACCTGACAAAATGAAAATGTATGGTGATCCGACAGATCAAGCTATTCTGCGTTTCTCAGAATCATTGGGATCCGTCAATAGGCTACGAAGTGATACGAAAAAGGTTTTGAGCTCGCCTTCAACAGCCGGAACAAATCCATGATTCGTATAATGCACTCGTTGCATGCAGATGTTGAAGATATGTACGTAACACTACTTTGGTATGGTTTAACATCACCAACTAACCTGTCTTAGGCTTTATATTAAAGGGGCGCCAGATGTCCTGATTCCGAGATGCAGCAGTGTAGTTCAAAAGGATGGCACCGTTAAGCCCCTTTCGAGCGTGGATTTAACACACATCGAATCGGTCAAGAACAAATGGTCACTCATGGGCAAACGCGTAATTCTTGTTGCGCAAAAAACACTTAGGCCAAGTGCTGACCACCTGCTGTCGTCCTCAAATACCGAAAAAGCTGTGGTGAGAGAAGCTAAGGAGGGTTTGACTTTCGTGGGACTTCTTGGTCTAATAATAGATCCAATTGTAAGAACTTGATGTTCTATCCATGGTCTATATTCGCAACATTCTCACTCTTTTAACAAACAGAGAGACGAGATACCTAGTGTCATTCAAACACTACGTACTGCTGGCATTCGCTTAATGATGGTAGTATTTCCCATGTCTCTATTGTTAGACATATTCGGGGCATATCTGACATACATAATAATAGGTGACAGGAGACTTCAAACTTACTGCGCACTCAATCGCTATTGATTGTGGAATTATAAAAACTACTCGACCTCTTATTCACGGAGCCACAGAGCTCGATCGTGATTTCGTATTTTCACCAGAGAAGTTGCAAAACTTTCGGTCAATTGTTATAAGTGGTCCTGAGCTGATAACTCTCAATGAAAACCAATGGGAACAACTCTGCAACTACCAGGAAATCGTTTTCGCGCGTACCACACCAGAACAGAAGCTTCGAATTGTTAAAGAATTCTAGGCACGTGAGAATATCGTAGCTATGACAGGCGATGGTGTCAATGATGCCCCGGCCTTGAAGGAAGCCCATGTGGGTGTTGCTCTTGGTAGTGGTTCCGATATTGCTATAGAGGCAGAGGACATGGTGCTACTGGATTCCTTTGCTGCAATTGTTGAAGCTGTTAAATATGGGCGTGTGGTCTTTGGTAAGTTCGGGCAGTTCTATTTCCTTTGAAGACAAACCGCTAATGGGTGTAGATAACTTGAAAAAGACTATTCTCTACCTTCTTCCGGCTGGCAGCTTTAGCGAGTTTTGTAAGTATTCCCCACGGAAAGCTATATTTTGATTCTCCACTGACGTTGTATACTAGGGCCGGTTATGGCGAATGTCGCTCTTGGTATTCCGCAGGTTCTGTCTTCATTTCTAATGGTATGCTTCAGAGATTCCGCAAAAGCTTTCCCTCGCTAATTAATGATAACATCAGATTATCATCTGGTGAGCCCAGGTATACCTGTGATATCTAAACTCTGGTCTAGGATATTGATATAAAACAGTCTCTTTACGGACGCTGCTGGTGCCATCACCCTGGCATACGAGAAGCCGGAAGCTGATGTGCTCCTTCGACCACCCCGTGTTCCAAGGAAGGATCGCCTGGTGAACACCAAGCTCATACTCCATGCCTATGGATTTGTCGGCGTCTATGAATGCGCCCTTTCTTTTATCATGGCATTTTGGTATATGGAGGTATGTCGCGCAACACCTATTCGACTCATTCAACTGATAACCTGAAAATGAATTTCGTACTGAAACCATTCCCCATTTCTTGCTGTAGAGACGGGGTATTCCTTTTAGCGCCCTGGCGCTGAAATACGGCAATTTAGATCCCGAATACGACCCCAAGTACGTTGTCGAGATAACCAATAAGGCCTCCTCGATCTAGTTCGTCAATTTGGTAGTGATGCAATTTTTTAACCTCCTCACCGTCCGCACCAGGCGTCTAAGCATCTTCCAGCAGCCACCAATTTTCAAAAAGCAGTCCAAGAACCCATCCATCTTTATAGCCATGGTATGGGCCTTGTGTAACTATAGTGTTCATATGTACGTTCTTTTCTTTTCTTTTCTTTTTTTTTTTTTTTTGCTTCGAATCCCTCTTCCCCCTTAGCCTAACCCCGACCGTTTCCCTTAACCTCATATTGTTATCCTTGCGCCTTTGGTTCCATAAAACTCTAAAAGATCGCTTACAGTAGTAGGCCCACCAACAAAATTCAGTCTGTTATATCCCGGGCCTCCAAAACACCGTCGCAACCACAACACTGCCGGCAGAGTACTTTGCCCTCCCGGTTGCTTTTGGTCTTGCGCTCCTTTGCTTGGACGAAGCTAGAAAGTACAGTGTCTGGCGCTGGCCGAAAGGGCTTCTTGCGAAGATTGCCTAGTAAGGGAGATTTGGATTGATATGTTTGCAGCACAGAAGAGGGGTGGGTGGTTGGACGCGGCGAAATTAGTTTGATACGCTGATTTATTTAGATAGGTGGCAAGAGTTACATATCTATTTAACTATAGAATTTGGGGGTTATTGACGATTACATGCTTGGTTTATGCGTAGCCATCTCAGCTGGTTAAACGCGACTATTGATTTCAGTTCCCCCCTGAGATATTGCTGTTCCTCTTGAGAACGGTGTTGGAGTTATCATATTAGAAGGTTGGGATGAAGACTAGAAGAACACTTATCCTATTAAATTGCTAGCTTTTTGCGGCGTCTCGTGGAGATCTGCACATGCGCTCTTTGTCAAGAAATCGGGTTCAAGACTTGACAATAATACTAAACCTAACAACTACCGGCGCCACTTCAACTCTTCAAAATACGTCATGGTCCCTAAGGACTCGGGATCCAGGTGTCTTCTATTTCCCAAGAATTTTTGCTTCGTTTACCACCTTGGTTTGACCCATATCTGAAGTTCCGGCGCGGATTGGGCAATATCAAGGCAATAATAAAAAGTCAGGACCATCCTGGCATCAAGAGTAGGTACGTACGCTAATTGTCCCTCACGGCCAGACGAGGAGATTGTGAAGAGGAAGCTCGCTGGTCGCGCGCCCCGCCGAAGGCTCTCAAACAAGTTGAAACGTCGTTAGGTTCAGAAGGGACTCCGCCAGGATGGATACAGTTCAACTAAAAAAGGCGCCTTCAACTCACTCCACATCAAACCATGCAAGCTTCAACCTTCGCAAATCGCAATACGCTGTAAGCGCTCCTATGGCAGATCAGTGCTCTAAGATAACCCTAAAGACGCCTCACCACGCTAACCGCCAAATATTGCGCATGTTTCCTCCCCCAGGTCGGCTTCAGCCTGCCGTGTGAGCATGGAATACGAATAATGAATATTCAAATACTTGAGTCGAATAGATTTGCTTACGGCAGTCACGTGTCTCACAGATTATAATCCACACCACAACCTCCGACATATACTCCGTAGTCCGTACGGAGTACTGTATGGCGCTTTAGTAATTGAGAATCTGACCACTCCCGGGGCGCCAGCAGTAGGCAAGCCACCACTACGCTGTATAAGAATGGGTACTGAGCGCAGCTGGCGAGGAGTCAGCCGTTTTATTGGCTTTGTGGCCTAGTGGTTACAGCCCGGACCCGGCAGCTTGTAACCACGACAGTAGCATTTTCCCAGATCCACCCTTGGTGTAGCATCTGTAATTGCATGACTTTTGAAATGAGCTCATTCCAATTCTTGTTCACTACATAAGGGCTTTCATGAGACTAAATACACGGTAGGCTTACTGACCTCATATACGGCATCATTCTCTTCACCTTCATAGCACCGTTCCCCCTATCTTGAGATTCGACATCAGATTAACATATACCCAGCCCACTACTATATATAATACATCAAAATAACTGCCTACCAGGCAATTTAACAGTGTGCTTTTATGGCTTGATGGTTATTAAAACTCACAAAGTACTTGGCAAACTAGGCAAGAAAGGGGATTCAACTGGGTGGAGATTTCGTGCCAGAATTCTTGCAAAATCCGCCTCCTAGCTTCAGGAACATACGATAGTCTGAAGAATTTAACTCTGCCAAGCGCAGCCAAGGTGTTAGGTTCAGCCACGTAGCTCGTGCGCCGTGTTCGCACATAAGCAGCGTAGATTCTTTCTTGCTGTGAGAGTCTTAAAAAAGGGTTGAGAGTAGTTAGCTTGAGAGCTGCATGACAGCGATAATAAACATGTGAATGCACTATTGATAATCAAGCATGGTGTATATACTGGATTTTTAGAGATGATGAGAAAATAAACGAGAAAGGGTGTGAAAGGAGTTAAGTGTGAAAATAAAACAACATTGGAGCCGCAACGGCGGCCTTTTGCAAGCTAGACATACCAACGCAGGTTCCGCGCGTTGCTCGGGTTGGCTGGGTGCTGCTGATGCATGCTATTGATATTTGCTACTCTCGGGGGTTGGTCTGATACGGCCCGGGCCCACAGCCAGAACTCGGCCCGGAGTCAACCGCAACGTCACGCTAGGCCGCAAATGGAAAGCCTCGCGCGTCGTCCAATGTCCATCCAATCTGTCCACCCACCTCGAGGCATCGAGGTCCCTTGCATGTCCTAACGCAGCGCTAAATGACACTTTTAGCTTTTGCGTACTTTCGTTGCCACTCATCATTGAGATTCCGATAATCCTCGGGACCATATGGATCCCACATCTCCGCCATAAGCCCTCTCTTCCGGCGCGGTTCGAGCCCCATGTCGCGCATCAGCATGTCAAGGTACGGTACTGCATCGAAGATAAAGCTGGGAGCTTTATCGCCCCAGTCCGTGGGATACCGCCATTTGCCAAATCGGTTATGCAGCACTGTCTGATACCGTAGTGCGCGCATCTTTTCTTCGTCGCCGATCGCCGCCGCGGGATCATTCGCCAGGAGCCCAGAGAAGTAGGCGCTGACCCACAGACCCTGTAGATGCGCCGTGATGATGTTGCTGAAGTTGCTGACCATACCGACAACTGCCACATCGCGGAGCTTCAGGAAACGCTCCGACGGCGGTACGATGAAGTGATGCAGCATATAGGGCGTCAGCGGCGTCCAGGGCGTTATTTCATCCTTTGTGTCGATCCCCTCCTGAGATGTCAGCGGGACGTAATTCTTGTTCCAGACTGGCTGGTCTTTGAGCCGCGGGTAGCGCTCGAAAATCTCTTTGTCAGCACGTTCGATGAGATCAAGTTGGTTTGCGAGGTCTTCTGCTGGGGCGTCCGAGGAACGGGCGTGCGGGAGTCCTATCTCCTTATCGATTCCCTCAGGAAGGAACTTCATGGGTGGCACGTGTTTCCATCCGGTAACGGCGAGGAAGGCATCTGATTCCAGCTCTGTACCGTCGGTCAGATGCACCTTACCAGGGCTCAGGCGGTGTACTTCACCCACGTGGATCGAGATTTTGTCGCCATTCCTGATCATGTCGAAAAAGTCAGTGTCATAGTTGAAGATGCTGAAGCTGGTCCCTGTGAACATGGGGTGAGTCCATGGCTTTAGTTTCGCGGTTTCTGGGTGTTTGTCGAATTCCCCGAGTGCTATTACATCTCCGCCAAGTACGTTCCAAAACCCGTTGACGATGGCTCGGCCGATAGCAGTGCCGTGGAGGAAGTTGCGGATGCCACTGTAACCACCCGCTTCACTGAAAATGCAGGGGCTAAACCAGGTCAGGACGCGTACATCTATGTAAAGATATTAGCACAATACTGTAGAAAGCCTTGAGGTGATGCGCGCAGGTTCCACACGTACTTGCGAGCTTTTCTATCCATTTCTTCAGTGGCGTCACAAATGGGGGTGACATCCAACATGGCCCACGTCCACTTGCTAATATTCTCATGTTAGTCGTCCGGATTAATCAGTCAATCTTATTGCAGTACATAGCACATACCCCGGATTACCCAATTGACTTTCACCCCCGCCGTGGCATAAGCATACGCCGCGTCCCAAGCCGACTTGGTAGCACCCAAAATTGTAACAGACTTCGCTGTTTCCAAAGTATCTCTATTCAGCATGAAATGCTTATTATGGAATATTGGCCCGCCGAATGTCTCCTGGCCGTCAAAATGCGGCAAGAATGCCTCAGAAGTCATCCCCGTCGCGAGAATGAGCCGGCGCACAAAAACCTGCGACTCTTCCTGCTTCGAATTTACAACGGTCAATATCCAACCTCCGGCACCCGTGTCCTGGTGCTCTGCCACGATGACCTTGGTCTGGAGACGGATCAGGTCAGTAATACCAAACTTGGCCGCGTATGCCTTGAGATACGCATTGATGACTTCTCCAGGGATATGTTGGCGTGGTTTAACACCAAATGTCTCTGTGTCCATAGGGAAATCTGGATATTCGTACGTCCCGAAGAGATTGTTGCTCTTCAGAAGCGGGTATAAGCGTTTGTCGCCCCATGTTCCCCCAAGTGAGGATTCGGATTCGAAGATAGCTAGAGAATCGTCCGGATTTGTGCAGTGATACTGCTTTGCGGCACCCAGGCCATACCACCCTGCATGACAAAAAAAATTGTTCAGCGCGGTCTTCAACCACGTCCATCGGAAACAAAACCAAGGGAGTTCGCTTCTAGTTAGGGTCAAATAGAAGTGTGCTTACCGGCGCCTACAACCGCGCAGTCAAGCGTCTCCATCATTGGGCCAGTGTTGGCCGCGGCACGGTCGTTCAGATAGCCTCTTTAATGACAAAGGCGTTGTGTCCCAGGGTCTGCCAGCTGAAAGGAACTTGTCAGTATAGAAAAGTTGGAAGAGCTGAAGAATCAGGGACGTCGTGGCAGCAAGAGTATTCTCTGGTAACACGACACTGACACCAAAAACTGCCAAGGAGAAAGTCTCATGAGATGACCTTGGTCTGGCCGGTCGGTATGGTATGCAGGTCTTCACCAACTGTATCCAGAGCGGTGGGCTCCTT